TCCCATCGTGCTCTTCTTTGATCCTGTAAATCCACTTGTTGTGAAGCGCTTTCTTGCCTGGTGGTAATTCAGCTAATTCCCACGTCTGATTTGACATAAGCGAGTCCATCTCATCTTTCATGGAAGACTCCCACTTGACTGAATCCTCCACTTGCATTGCTTCATCATAGCACTCTGGTTCACCATTGTCAGTCAGCAACAAGTAGTGCAAAGAATGAGAATACCGTTGGGTTGGTTTAGGAATTATGGAGGAGCGTCTTAGTTCGGTGTGCCTGGTTCTTCTTGAACTGCTTCAGGACTGATCTGAACATCATTTCCAAAATCTCCTCAAACTCAGCAAATTCCTTTGTTTCATCTTTGGTATTGGAGCTGCTTGATTCTACAGTTGACCTATCTTTGTACATCACATTCTCATTGAAAATGACATCTCTGCTTCTAATGATCTTCCGATTTTCATAGTCCCAAAACCGGTAACCGAACTCATCACCACTGTAACCAACAAAGGCACATTTGTTGGACTTAGCATCAAGTTTACTTCTTTCAGCAGAGTCTATGTGTACATAAGAAATACAACCAAACACTCTTAAGTGTGAAAGGTTTATTTCTTTCTTGCTCCTAACTTCCTCTGGTATTCTGCCATCCAAAGGAACTGAGGGCCCACGATTGATCAGGTAAGCTGCAGTGTTGATAGCTTCAGCCCATAGAAATTTGGGCAATCCAGCATGTATCCTCATGCTTCTGGCACGTTTATTTAGAGTTCTGTTCATGCGCTCTGCTACGCCATTCTGCTGCGGTGTCATGGGAACTGTTGTCTCCATCTTGATCCCATTGTTTGCGCAAAAGTCTCTGAATCTCCTATTTCTGTACTCTCATCCATTGTCAGACCTCAACCGCTTGACTTTCAGACCAGTCTCATTTTCCACCATGGCCTTCCATTTTCTGAAGGTATCAAAGACTTCTGATTTCTTCTTCAGAAAATAAACCCACACCTTCCTTGTAGAATCATCGATGAAGGTGACATAATATAGTGAGCCTACAAGAGATGGAACTGGAGATGGTCCCCATACATCAGTATGAACCAACTCTAACTTTTCAGCCTTGGGTGTCTTACCAATCTTTGCAAAGCTGACTTTTTTTTATTTTCCAAAGATGCAATCCTCGCATAGTCCGACATCTACATTCTTTAGATCCAACAGCTTCCCTTTTGACAAAAGCGTCTTCATCTTTCTCGCTCATATGGCCAAGCCTTTGGTGCCATAGGTTTGATTTTCCATCAACATCTGCGGCTGCAATGATATTCTCTAAATTTGAGGTTACATAGAGAGTACCAGTTTTCTTACCACGAGCAATGACGAGTGCTCCTTTGGTAATCTTCCATTCACAGTCTGAAAACGTTGTGCTATATCCTTCTACATCAAGCTGTTCAACAAAAATCAAATTTCTTTTGAGACCAGGAATATGTCTCACACCTTTCAGCTTCCAGGTGGTCTGGTTTGACAACTTTAATCGGATGTCTCCTTTTCCGACGATCTTCAAGGTTTTATCATTGGCTAGATGAACCTTCCCAAAATCACCACTGACATAGTTCTCCATGATTTCTCGGCATGGGGTGGAGTGGAAAGATGCCCCTGAATCCAAGATCCATGATTCAATCGGAGTGTTGACGCTTAGAATCATGACATCACCTATCTCCTCTGTCATGTTGGCAGATTCTTGTGCAACGGTATCTTTCTTCAGTGCTCGACAATCTCTTTTAAAGTGACCCTTCTTGCCACAATTATAACAGGTAAAATCTTTTGTTCTGTTCTTGATTTGCCCCTTCTGGATTTCGATCTGCCACGATTTGAATTTCTTTCTGAAGTTCTCCCTCTAGACTCCGTGTTCAAGGCTGAGGAGGTTGATGCTTCACCCGATTCTCTCCGTCGAATTTCTTCGCTCAGTACCATATCCTGAACATCGTCGAATTTCAATTTACTATTTCCCGACGAGCTGCTAACTACTGTAACAGTAGCATTCCAACTATCTGGTAGAGATGATAAGAGAATTAAAGCTTGAACTTCATCATCGAATTCAATTTCCACGGAACTCAACTGGGTTGTGATTATGTTGAGTTCATTCAGGTGTTGAGCCACTGATGCCCCTTCCGTCATCCGCAAATTGAATAATCACCTCATCAAATGAACTTTGTTTGAGGCCGATGGCTTCTCATACATACTGGAGAGAGCCGCCATAAGACCCGTCGTGGTCTTTTCCTTTTCTATGTTGAAAGCAAAATTTCGGGACAACGTCAGTCGGATAACTCCGAGGACTTGTCGGTCGAGAAGAGCACAGTCTTCATTCTTCATGCCTCTGGTTGCTTTCCTGAGATGGGTTGATATAGATTTTTCTGGTACAGAAAAGCTTCGATCTGCATCTTCCAAAAGCCAAAGTCCGCACTATCGAACTTTTCAATTTTCACCTTCCCTTCGTCTGCAGTCATCGCTCCCACTCGAATCTGGCTTCTTCGGATCGTTTCTGACAATTTGTGCGAATCACCGTGTATTATAACACCTCCGTCGACAAATTCGTATCGCCGACAAAATTTCACTATTCACAAATTTACTATTCATGTGAATAGTAATGAATAGTAACCTCGCAAAAAAATTGACAAAATTCACAACCTAAAAGCTCTGATTACCAGTTGTTGGGAAATAAACGAGTAACAAGTAATTTCCTATAGCCAGATTAGTGAGAATACGAAATAAAAGTGGAAAAATAATACCCGAAAATTTGATAACGGAGTTCAGCCAATTGTGCTTACGTCTCCGACTGCTGCAGATCTTTTACTAAAGGGAAAAAATTACAGGTGTTTACAAAACACACTTGAGAGAGAACTGGAAGATTTTGGGATGATTTTGAAGCTAAATGAGCTAGGGTATTTATAGTTGAAGCTTCAGGATTAATCTTGTAAATACCCTAAAGTATGCAATGGCTAAAATGTAATTAACCCAAAAACATTTTAATTTAAATTTGGGGCACCGAATTCGATGCCCCTTTGCTGAAAAACGGTGCTCCCCTTTTGTTTTTTTTTCAACCCACCTTAATTGACTTTTCCAACAGTGTAAGAGTTCGACTAGTTTGTGTGGTATAGGTGACTTAATCAGGAATAATTGTAGCGATATCTTAATGGAATTTTCTTTGTCAGCTGGGTTAGGGACTGTTTTCTTTGCTAAATTGCTGGCTATTCAATATGTTGTCAATGTTTTAGTTCTTCTGCATGGGCTTTTAAATTTCGTCTCAACATAGAATGTGATTGTAGTGTTGTCGTAGATTGGGTCAAGAATCCTACGAAGGTTGTCTCGTTGTATTCGTCGCTAATAAGGAGGTTACATAACCAGATTCATACAGATCGATGGATTATTCGTCACATTCATCGAGTTCAATACATTAAAGCTGATACTTTGGCCAAAAGGGGTTTTGAAAGTTAAGAGGATTTTCTCTGCTGTAATTGCTTATTCATGGGGTAAGGACGGACACATGAATTTATGTTAGAGGGCGAACTTAAAAAATTATATTAAAAATGTAGGAGGTGCGAAATTATAAAACATGAGGGAATGCGAAATTAGATAATTCATATAAAATATAATGAAAATACTTAAAATATAAGAGATTTTAAAATTTTTAGGGTACGACCGCACCGAGCACCCCCTCGGTCTATCATTGATTGGGGTGTTTCGTTTCTTGTTAGTGTGCTGTTCATTCATCCTATCTCTTGTTCTCGCTTCGTGGGACAGTCTTGCTTGCTAACATTGGGTCTGGGTACTGTTGATTTTCCTCAGGTGTGGTGCGCATACGATCTAAACCAACATGGTTTGGTTTGTTTCGTGCGTTCGTATGGAGGCTTGTAAATTGCATTCGTAGGTAGAAACATCCCTTGTGTTGATGGATTCATTCTTTCCCATTGGCTCGCTTGTAAAGTTGCTACATAAGCTCTGGCCAGTGCATTGTTGGGAGTATGTTTTAGCAATTTCGTTACCCTTGTTACTATTAGGGTTTTTCATATCTAGGTGTTATTATGAGTACGCTAGGATTGCTTTTCTTAGGTCTTTAGTTATGTTTCGTACAATTGTTGTGTTGGATGTTCTCCTCTTTGTTCGTTTAATAAAATTGTGGATATTTTTTTTCCTTCGTTGTCTTAATTTGGTGTTTACTAGATCACGTTATGAGAAGATTTTTTAATAAGGCCTTATTTACCGTTTAAAAAAAATATAAGACACAAATTATGTGGAAGAAGAGAATAATTAAATAAATTAAGTGATTAAAACATGAGCAATTTTGAAGTTGAATAGTTAAATTAAAAACTTTAGTGACAATAATATAAGTGAGAAAATAGTTAAATGACGAATAATATAATTTACTCATAAAAAATATCACGTGTAAAAGTTCTTTTAAGTTTTGAAAATTGAAATATTAAAATGAAATAAAAAATAAACGTTAGGTATAGTTTTAAAACAAATAAAATTTAGGAATTAAAATAAATAAAACTGATAATTTAAATAACATGTAGTTTATCCATAATTATAATACGATAGGTCACGAAATTAACCTACCGAGGTCGAAAAAGAATACAAATATATTAAAAGACTCCAGCCGAAGAGAGTATTAACATTTTCCCCTTATTTCAGTAATGCAAATTAACAAGATACACGACATTTTACTTTTCCTTTGAAACTGTTGTGTATTATACATTTCAAAATGTACAATGTATGGAAGGCATTTTGCCCCTACAAACTATGAGGATCGTAATGGAAAGGGAAATCATTTCTAGAGCTAAAAGTGCAACTTACTTCATTTGCTAATTCTCAGAAGAATCAGTTTCACTTCTTGCCAGGTCTTCATCCCCTTCTCAACTGCCCGCTATTTTTGTAATTTAATGTGGCGAGGTCCTGAAAATTTGAAAGCCAAGATTTAAACAAAATGCTAATCGATTCAAGAAGAAAGGAAACACCAACAACTCAGAACATGCATACCATGATTCACTGGATTTTCATCTGCTGCTTCTTGTTAGCGCTTCCTGTTGGGTCCGGCTGTGGAAAAATCCTCAGAAATGGTCAAGTCCTTTGTAATGTACGCTAACTGGCAATATGCTGATCGCAACTGACTGTAAAAGTCTTCTTCCCTTCCTATTTGCTCATCTCGTCGATCCATCTCTATAAGAACCTGTTACAACCTACCGGAATAAATGGTTGGGGAGTTTTCTAGAGAAAGAGACTGTAAGATTTCTGATTCTTACCTGTGCGGGGCTCCTCCTGAAAACCTGGGAAAACCTCTTCCTGCAGTACTCATTGAAGAGTAGAGAGAAAACTATGAGAGGAATGGTGAAACCAGAAGCCATTGGTGCTTCTTTCAGGGCGAAGATCGCAACGGCAATAATGTTAAAATGGTTTTCAAGTTTGGTAACTAACTTTGAAAAAATGGTTTTCAAAGTTTGGTAAATGTTTCCTTGAAAATGGTTTTCAAAGTTTGGTAAATGTTTCTTTGAAAAATAGTTTTTCAAAGTTTGGTAGATGTTTGTTGAAAAATGATAATGGGATAATCACAATTAATCCCTATGTTTTAGGGTATTTACAAGATTAAGTGCTTAAGTTTTAACTATAAATATTCTAGCTCATTTAGCTTCAAAACCATCCCAAAAATCATTTCTTTCTCCCAATACTAAAGAGTTTTCTTGTGAGTAGTGAGTGTTTTGTAAACACCTGTAAATTTTCTCTCTTAGTAAAAGATCTGCAACAGTCCGGAGACGTAAGCACAATTGGCTGAACTCCGTTATCAATTTCGGGTATTATTTTTCTGCTTTTATTTTGCATTCTCACTAATCTGGTTATAGGGAAATTACTTGTACTTGGTTTATTTCCCAACAACTGGTAATCAGAGCTTTTAGTTGTGAATTTTGTCAATTTTTGTGAGGTTACTATTCACGTGAATAGTGAATTTCGTGAATAGTAAAATTTTGTCGGCTATACAAATTTGTAGACGGAGGTGTTCTAATACACGGTGGTTCGCAAGAATTGTCAGAAACGATCCAAACGAAACCAGATTCGAGTGGGAGCGATGGCTGCAGACGAAGGGAATGTGAAAATTGAAAAGTTCGATGGTGCGGACTTTGGCTTTTGGAAGATGCATATTGAAGATTTTCTGTACCAGAAAAATCTATATCAACCTCTCTCAGGAAAGCAACCAGAGGGCATGAAGAATGAAGACTGGGCTCTTCTCGACAGGCAAGGCCTAGGAGTTATCCGACTGACGTTATCCCGCAATGTTGCTTTCAACATAGCAAAGGAAAAGACCACGGCGGGTGTTATGACGGCTCTCTCCAGTATGTATGAGAAGCCATCAGCCTCAAACAAAGTGCACTTGATGAGGCGATTATTCAATTTGCGGATGACGGAAGGGGCATCGATGGCACAACACCTAAATGAACTCAACACAATCACAACTCAGTTGAGTTCAGTGGAAATTGAATTCGATGATGAAGTTCGAGCTTTAATTCTCTTATCATCTCTACCAGACAGTTGGAATGCTACTATTACAGCAGTTAGCAGCTCATCGGGAAATAGTAAATTGAAATTCGACGATGTTCGGGATCTGGTACTAAGCGAAGAAATTTGACGGAGAGAATCGGGTGAAGCATCAACCTCCTCAGCCTTGCACACGGAGTCCAGAGGGAGAACTTCAGAAAGAAATTCAAATCATGGCAGATCGAAATCCAGACGGGGAAAATCCACAAAGGGAAAGAAAGATTTTACTTGTTATAATTGTGGCAAGAAGGGTCACTTTAAAAGAGATTGCCGAGCACTGAAGAAAAATACCGACGCACAGGAATCTGCCAACGTGACAGAGGAGACATGTGATACCATTATTCTAAGCGTCAACAGTCCGATTGAATCATGGATCTTAGATTCAGGGGCATCTTTCCACTCCACCCCATGCCGAGAAATCATGGAAAATTATGTCAGTGGTGATTTTGGGAAGGTTCATCTAGCTGATGATGAAACCTTAAAGATCGTCGGAAAAGGAGACATCCGACTAAAGTTGCCAAACCAAACCACCTGGACGCTGAAAGGAGTGAGACATATTCCTGGCCTCAAAAGAAATTTGATTTCTGTAGGACAACTTGATGGTGAAGGATTTAGCACAACCTTTTCAGGCTGTGAATGGAAGATTACCAAAGGAGCACTCGTCATTGCTCGTGGTAAGAAAACTGGTACTCTCTATATAACATCAAATTTAGAGAATATCATTGCAGTAGCAGATGCTGATGGAAAATCAAACCTATGGCACCAAAGGCTTGGCCATATGAGCGAGAAAGGGATGAAGACACTTTTGTCAAAGGGGAAGCTGCCGGATCTAAAGAATGTAGATGTCGGACTATGCGAGGATTGCATCTTTGGCAACAAAAGAAAGTCAGCTTTGCAAAGATTGGTAAGACACCTAAGGCTGAAAAGTTAGAGTTAGTTCATACTGATGTATGAGGACCATCTCCAGTTCCATCTCTTGCAGGCTCATTATATTATGTCACCTTCATCGATGATTCTACAAGGAAAGTGTGGGTTTATTTTCTGAAGAAAAAATCAGAAGTCTTTGATACCTTCAGAAAATGGAAGGCCATGGTGGAAAATGAGACTGGTATGAAAGTCAAGCGGTTGAGGTCTGACAATGGAGGAGAGTACAGAAATAGGAGATTCAGAGATTTTTGCGCAAACAATGGGATCAAGATGGAGACAACAGTTCCCATGACACCGCAGCAGAATGGCGTAGCAGAACGCATGAACAGAACTCTGAATGAACGTGCTAGAAGCATGAGGATACATGCCGGATTGCCCAAATTGCTCTGGGCTGAAGCTATCAACACTGCAGCTTACTTGACCAACCGTGGGCCATCAGTTCCTTTGGATGGCAGAATACCAGAGGAAGTTTGGAGAAAGAAAGAAATAAACCTTTCACACTTAAGAGTGTTTGGTTGTATTTCTTATGTACACATAAACTCTGCTGAAAGAAGTAAACTTGATGCTAAGTCCATCAAATGTTCCTTTGTTGGTTACGGCGGTGATGAGTTCGGTTACCGATTTTGGGACTATGAAAATCGGAAGATCATTAGAAGCAGAGATGTCATTTTCAATGAGAATGTGATGTACAAAGACATGTCAACTGTAGAATCAAGCAGCTCCAATACCAAAGATGAAACAAAGGAATTTGCTGAGTTTGAGGAGATTTCTGGAAATGATGTTCAGATCAGTCCTGAAGCAGTTCAAGAAGAACCAGGCACACCGGAACTAAGACGCTCCTCCAGAATTCCTAAACCAACCCAACGGTATTCTCCTTCTTTGCACTACTTGTTGCTAACTGAAAATGGTGAACCAGAGTGCTATGATGAAGCAATGCAAGTGGATGATTCAGTCAAGTGGGAGTCTTTCATGAAAGATGAGATGGACTCGCTTTTGTCAAATCAGACGTGGGAATTAGCTGAATTACCACCAGGCAAGAAAGCGCTTCACAACAAGTGAATTTACAGGATCAAAGAAGAGCATGATGGGAGCAAACTCTACAAAGCGAGATTGGTTGTCAAAGGTTTTCAGCAAAAAGAAGGTATTGACTACAATGAAATTTTTTCTCCAGTCGTGAAACTGTCTACTATCAAACTGGTGTTGAAAATTGTAGCTGCAGAGAATTTACATCTTGAGCAGTTAGATGTAAAGACAGCTTTCTTTCATGGTGATTTGGAGGAAGAAATCTATATGAGGCAGCCAGAAGGCTTCATAGAGGCAGATAAGAAAAACCTGGTATGCAGGTTGAAGAAGAGCTTGTATGGTTTAAAACAAGCTCCTAGACAGTGGTACAAGAAGTTCGATAGTTTCATGAGTAGCAATGGTTTTACCAAGCAGATCATTGTTGCTACATCAAGAGGTTCGATAATAGCTTCATTATTTTATTGTTGTACGTTGATGACATGCTCGTTGCAGGCTCAGACATGCAAGAGATTATAAACTTGAAGCAAAAATTGTCAAAACAGTTTGCTATGAAGGATCTGGGCACTGCAAAGCAGATTCTTGGGATGAGGATCAAGAGAGACACAAAGTCAGGGACTTTGATATTATCACAGGCTGAGTACATCAACAAAGTACTCTCCATGTTCAACATGCAAGATGCTAAACCAGTAAGTACACCTTTAGGTGTTCATTTCAACAGTCACCAAATACGGAGGAAGAACGTGCACACATGGTGAAGGTGCCGTACGCCTCAGTAATTGGAAGTCTGATGTATGCCATGGTTTGTACCAGACCAGATTTGCTCAAGCAGTGGGAGCTGTTAGCAGGTACATGAATAATCCGGGCAAGGTACACTGGGAAGAAGTCAAATGGATCCTCAGATATCTGTGGGGTACCACAAATAAAGCACTTTGTTTCAAAGGTGGAGATACGATACTGACAAGCTATGTAGATGTTGACTTAGCTGGAAATGTTGACATCAAAAGGAGCACTACAGGGTATGTCTATACTCTAGGAGGAACCGCAGTGAGTTGGATTTCTCAACTACAGAAGATAGTTGCTCTCTCCACAACTGAAGCAGAATATGTCGCTGTTACGGAAGCTAGCAAGGAGATGGTTTGGCTCCAAAGTTTCTTGGAAGAGTTAGGCAAGAAATAAGAAAACAATGTCTTGTATTTTGACAGTCAAAGTGCTATACATCTAGCAAAGAATCCGTCTTTTCATTCCAGGACAAAGCACATACAATTGCGACATCATTTTATCCGGTCTCTTCTGGAAGATGAGATTTTGAAACTTGAAAAGATCAGTGGAGCTCAAAATCCGGCAGATATGTTGACAAAGACGGTGACTACAGACAAACTGAAGTTGTGTTCAACTTCAGTTGGTATGCTAGAGTAACAAGACTAAAAAGCTGTTGCATTGATCGAGGTGTGAAGACAGATTAAAATCAGTCTTCAAGTGGGAGATTGTTAAAATGGTTTTCAAGTTTGGTAACCAACTTTGAAAAAATGGTTTTCAAAGTTTGGTAGATGTTTGTTGAAAAATGATAATGGGATAATCACAATAATCCCTAAGTTTTAGGGTATTTACAAGATTAAGTCCTTAAGTTTTAACTATAAATATCCTAGCTCATTTAGCTTCAAAACCATCCCAAAAATCATTTCTTTCTCCCAATACTAGAGAGTTTTCTTGTGAGTAGTGAGTGTTTTGTAAACACCTGTAAATTTTCTCTTAGTAAAAGATCTGCAGCAGTCCGGAGACGTAAGCACAATTGGTTGAACTCCGTTATCAATTTCGGGTATTATTTTTTCGCTTTTATTTTGCATTCTCACTAATCTGGTTATAGGGAAATTACTTGTACTTGGTTTATTTCCCAACAAA